CTGACCTCGACAGCCACAAGAGGACAAACACAAGCAAATACAAACAAATGACTCCAAAGCCACAGAGTGAAATCAAGAGGAAAAACAGAAGCTGAGAAGGTACAGATGGGACAGTAGAAAGGCCATGTGTCACTTCTGAGAGATGGTTTTGGTGAGGCAGAATCCGGGAGAGAAAGGAAATGGGTCAAAAAGAAACAGAAGCGGTGGTATGAGCTGCTTGGTTTGTAAGGAAAAGAAGCTATGAGAAGAAGGGAAGAGGCTAGGGATGTGGAAGGAGAATACGGAGAGACTGGTATTGCAGGATCCAGGAAAGGAAATAAACAGTAGTGAGATAAGGCATAAAGTACAGCTTAGGTTAAGAGAATGGACCTTCAGGTCACATAGATTGTTGATCAGCCCCCTCCCACCTTCACTACTTGCCTCATTTCTCCTCTGGAAGATGGAGATATAAGCTTGGGCTTTTTCCATGAAGACATCATGAAGGCTGAGCCATAACACGTGCTGTACATTGTGAAACATTCCTGGAGAAAGTGAGACCAAAGCTTACAGTCAATAGGTCTTGTCCACTCTTTTCAAGGGACTATGACACTCTATCCACACTGTTTGTCCTTCTTAAAAAATAGCAACTGTTGTAATTTAAAAAAAAAGATTTTTTTCATGCCCTTTGGATACTTACTGACTTCAATTTTCCCCTCTCTGCTAGTCTTTACTGTAACATCTCAGCCAAGCCTCCTGTCATCAAGGATACTCATACTTAGCCACAGTCTGCTTCTGCTGGTATTCAGCTACTCCTTGGGCCACTCCTTTCCTGCCTTCTCTGTAAATTCATCTTTCTTCCTGGGTTTATCCTTCTTGCATTAAATTTTATAGAGACACACTCCTCAGGTTGCGCATCCTCCTTGACTGGTGTCTTCCATAGCCCAGGATTTAATTTCTTTCCATATATCTTCAGCTCAGACCTCCCCCGTGAGTCACAGATTCTATGTCCCGTGAACTTGGATGATTCGACAGTTTCATAAATTCAAAATGAGTTCCATAAACACTAAATGAGCTTCCCTCCCACACCACAACACTGGCTTCGGCTCACAGAACGGTATCACCATCCCTCCAGGTGCATAGTATAGAAATTTTAGAGCCGTTTTAAACATTATCCTCTCTACACCTCACTACATTTAAATCATGACCTAATCACATCACTTTAACTCTAAATGTCTCTTGTCTGGTCCACTTGTCTCTGTTTCTACTACCACTCATGTCCTAAGTAACTGCCTCTCCAACCTGAAAAATGACAAAAGACTCTCCACGGGTCTCTTTTTGCCCACTCTAAGACCCACCATCCCCATTGTATTCTTCTGCAGCCATATGATTTAGGTTTTCAAAACACAAATATGATTTTGTTGACACCCTGCTTAAAGCCCTAACTGGTTTCTCATTTCTCTTAGGACAAATTCAAGCATCTTTATCACAGCCTATAAGGCTTTACAAAAGTGTCCCTTCCCCCATTTCAGTCTCAGTGCTCTCTGTACAGTTTCCTGCTTTCTGATCTCTGGGTCCCCAACTTCCTCTCTGTTCCTTACTGATGTTTCTTTCTGCTTATTAGCATCATGCTCATCCAACCCTTGCCCTGTCCTGCCCAGTATCATTCAGCAGTCCCCTCACTGCTAGAAACAGAATATTCTCCAGCCATACCACTTCCTGCCCCCAACAGGAAGTTTTTCCTCACATGGAAAATCATCCATTAAAAATCAATCATTAAAAATCTCCCTCTTTAAGACCCTGTCAGCCCCAATGGGCCAAGTTCACATGTCTCTGGCCTCTAATGGCAGCCCTAGGAGTCAGTTCCCCTAGGGAACTGACCCAAAGAAAAGGGAGAATCAGGGGGAACCAACATGGCTGGGTTCTGTTCCCCCCAGAGTGGGGGCATAAAAGAGGGACGGCCCAGGAATGCTAGAGAGAATAAGGAGGGCAGGCTTGGCTTCCAGCCCTCAGACTCAAGGTGGCTGGGTAGATTTCCTGCTGAACATGCCCCACCCCTACTCCATGTTGACAGGTAGGATGTGGTAGAATCTGACCAGGCTGGGTTGCACATTTGTGAGTTCAGGGCCTGCCTCCCCTCCCTTCATAGGTTGTACCAGGGTATCTGGGAATCCCTTCTGGTATTAAAATGTAATTTAATTTCTTTCTTAATAGAAAAAAAAGTACATTCTGGTACTGTGGGGCTCTGATGTGTCTTGACACCAAGGTCACCAGGACACCTAGGCTGTGCTCTGAATACTCAGGCTTTTGCCCCAACCAAGATGAGGACTCTGAGTAAGAGAATGGCAGGGTATTAAGTGGAAGTATTAAGACATCTGTGGCTACATGTAGCACAGCATCACAAGCCTAGAGAAATCAGATAGCCAAAACCCCAGTGCCAGCCAGCATGGGATGCCTAAGCAACAGAGACTGCCCTGCAGATAACAATGGCAAGACCTGACAAGACAACTCTCAGAGGGCAGTGAAGACCGGTGTCCCTTCCCCCATCTGCAGTCCTGGTGCTTCTTGTACAGTTTCCTGCTTTCTGAGGTCTGGGTCTCCAACCTTCTCTCTGTTCCTTACTGATGTTTCTTTCTCCTTATTAGCACCATGCTCATTCAACTTGCCCTGTCCTGCCCACACAAGCTGAAACTTGGATGCAAGCCTAAAAATCAAGAGAAAAATTATAATTACAATTAATTGTAATTAAAATTGTTCCTTGACCTTTAAAATTTTCTGTCTGGGCTGGGATGTGGCTCAAGCGGTAGCGCGCTCGCCTGGCATGCTGGGGGTGCTAAGTTCGATCCTCAGCACCACATAAAAATAAAATAAAGACGTTGTGTTCACTGAAAACTAAAAAGTAAATATTTAAAAAAATCTCTCAAAAACATTTTTTTCTGTCAAACACTAAAGACTCTCTTATCATATGTTTTAAATATATAGTTTAAAAAAGTAGTAAAAACAAGCATGCAATAAATTAAAACACTAGAAACAGCAAATTTTTAATTTAATTTACATTTAATTTTAAATTAAAGTGTAATTTAATTTCTTTTTTAGTTAAAAAAAAGTGATCAAGGATATTTGGACAGTGTTGCTTTCTTCTCTGTATCTCCACAGAGCCTCTCTCTTTTTTTTTTTTTTGTCTTGGCAAAGTATCATAATCCTTTATAGATCTGCATGAGCTTTCAACACCTTATACTTTGCACTTTCAATGTTGTGAAATATTTCTGAAAGTTCCCTTAATGGGAAGGTTTTTGCTGGCATCATTTCCTCCAGACATCTTCATCCTTTTGGTTATAACCAGTTTCCTCATTTACACCTTTAACCTTGGTTTCACATTTTGTCAGACATAGAAATGTCAAAGTTCCTGCTTGTCAGAAATTCACAGCTTACTCAGAATGATGTAAAAATTTCATTTTGGGAGTTAAAAACCTAAAACAAAGAGAACAAACAAACAACCTCAAGCTATTCAAAGTAGCTATTCATTAATAAAGAAGTCAGATGATAACAGATACAATTCTAAATGTTCAGGGCCAACTCGTGTTAAAAAACAAAACTACCCCACATATGCATGGACTTTTTCAGTTCCTTGCACTTAAGTGTTAATGATTATTTAAGTGGTGAAATAATAAATGAATCAAAAAAATGTTGAAGCAACTAAGTAAATTTAACTATCCTGTGAAAATTTTGTAGTTGCCAGAAATTGGTATTTGGATGTTTAATATCTTTTATAGATCAGGGGAGAGGTAAAATTACATCTTCCTTAAGCATCTGATGAAATTTGTAGCTCTCTCCCTTCAAAAGTGCATGTGAGCAGACATGACATTTTGTACATTTCAGGGAATTCACAGAGTCCCTGACATCCAATTAGAAGCCCTTTCTATGAACTTAAACTTTTATTACTAGGTAAAACTGGGCCAAAGTCTGTTTCAGAGTATGGCAAGTCCCACCAAATTTTAGCACTTTCTTTTAAATAATATTCTATTAATTTATTTTAATATTTTGTTCTTAGTTGTAGATGGACACAATACCATTTATTTATTTATTTATTATTTATCTGCTGATGAAGATGGAGCCCAGTGCCTCACATGTGCTAGACAAGCACTCTATCACTGAGCCACAATCCCAGCCCCAGATTTGGATACTTTCTAAAAAAAGACAAACCTTGCAGCATATCAACTGCTACTGGAAAATGGATTTAATGGTGACTTTTCACCATACGAGTTTATTCAACCAAGGCCTCTTCAACTACTAACTACCACCCCTGAAACTCTCTTCTAGAGTAAAGGTATTATAAAACCTGGCTGTAAAGACAGACTCCACAGCAGATGATTGTTGAACACGAGCAGAATCAGCAATCAAACTGACAAGGGATTGTGTTACACAGGATTAGCCCTGTTGGGATGAGGCTGCAGAGTGGCCTGAGTCTCTTACAGGTGGCATCCTACTCAGTCTGTCCTCTGCCTTTATTCTTCCCCTCCCATTCTTCTTTTCCCCACTACTTCTGATGTTGACTCCAGGGACACTGCTTAATCAGGCTATGGTGCAGGAGATTTTTAGATCCTTATTAAAGTCACAAGAGAAAGACATTCTGCATGAGTTACTTTGGATTCCATAGACAACCCAATGGGAGGCTCTGAGAACATTTCAATGATGTTCAAGAAGTGGGTCTGGGTCTTGCTGTCTTGCGATAGAAACTCACTAGTTGGGAAAGTAATATTTGATTAAGGAAAGGGATTGCCAGATTGTTTTATTTGTTTTTTAAATTGATTTGGCTTCAAGGAAGAAAAGATTGCCTAAGCAAAAATCTGCTGATGAAGTCACAGAATGATCCCACTTCTGGAATGAGCTTTGTTTTCTTGTATTTTGGTAAGAGATTTGGCTCTCAATTGGAAATGCGCATCACTCTACCCACTCAAGGGCAAGATGATAAGGTTCTATCAGACCACGCGTATAAGAGAACCTGAGACTCTACCAAGGTCAGAAATGCTGCACTTCAAGCCAAAAGATCTCTCTTGGGCTTGCTTGTTTTGACTTGTAACCACAAATTTGTCTTGTCTAAAGTCCAATCACATTATAAAACAAAGTACCGATCTCCCCAACACAGCATTCTCTGAAGCAGCTGGAGTCATAGACTCCAGCTAGGGGATTCTCTAATAACTTTTCTGCCGCTTTGATTTCCATAGAGCTCTAAATTGCTGTGTCTGAAGCTGAGGAGAGCAAGATGGTTTTGGAAATGCTGAATCCAATGCACTATAATGTCACTGGCATGGTGCCAGAAGTCATGCTTGTCGGCACCATGCTGATTCTGCTGCTCATGGGCCTTCTTCTCTTGATTTGGAATTATGAGAACACATCTTCAATACCAGGTAAGTCACTTGCTTATTTCTTTGTCTAAGGATATTGTTTCTTCAGGCTTTTGATTCATGATTGTAAAGAAAATTTTGCAAAAGGACAAAGAGCAAACCCTAGTAAGATCTCTGAAGACCATGGTCATGAGAGCAAATGAGGACTGAGGTTAAAAGGTTTATAACTATTATTTGCACATTTTAAATGAAAGCATTTAAAAAATATCTTAGATAAACTCATCTAGTCCGCACACTATTTTGGAAAAATAGACTTGACATAAGTGCTTTTTAAAGCAAGCTTGAGATGGGGTGGAGCAAGGTAGAATTCCAGGTTTTTTATTAATTTTTAAAAATATATATTTAAATCCATTCCAATTTTGCCCTATGGCTGAAGTGTCTCTGGAATCCCTTCTTTCTCCATTCCTTCTCCCTCCTACTTTGCCTCACCTGCACCCTCTCCCTTTCTTGCATTTCTCCTTTCTCTTTGTTTTCTCTTCTTGGCAGTTTAGTGATTGTGGCATCACCATGAAAGTTGAATAGGACCTGGGCAATGGAAGAAGAATGGCGGCCACCACCATTTTATAGGCACATCACAACATGATGGAATCTTTAACAAGGCCCATGGGTCAATTAAAAGTAAAGAATAATAGAATTATCTAGATAATCCCAATGGAAAAATCCTACCATTCCACCACTACTGCTTTAATTTTCAGATTAATTCAGAATTACCAGAACTGTTGCTTTAGTTTTCAATGTAAATGCCTCCTGGCAGGCACCTGTTCCCAATCCCATAAGCTATCCAATAACACAGTTTCAAGAGCATAGTAATTACATATTTCTAAGTGTGTTGAGCCTCAATACAGGGTAACTGAAAATGGGCACATGGGACTGGTACAAAATATTGCATGTCTGGATTCTTTTCAAAATGTCCCAGTTAACTGCCTGTTTTTCCATCTGATTCAGCCTGGTTACTTGAATGCCAAATTTATTGGGATATTTAGTTAATTTTGTTCTCTGCTCTCCAGCCTCTGGGTCATCTCCAGAGGAGGAGGCTTAGAGCTGAAGAAAGATTTCCTGGTCTTTGACTTGAACTCCCACTCTGGATGTGCCTCTTCTTCACTGGATTTTTCCTCTACCTAGTGGGCTCCTAAGTCAGGGTCAATGAATGGTAGGAGTGAAGTGAATGTGTATGGCGGGGAGGGGGGTGGAATGATTTTTCCTTCTCTTCCCTGACATAGGCTGAGGTGTTAAAGTCTAATCCACTTATTATCAGTGCAGCTTGCAAAGAGAGAGAGGTCAGCATTGTCTGCCCATCCAGTAAGCCACAGGTTCTCTTTTAGTTATTAGAAGAAGCAATGAGGCCCAGATTCCCAGGTCCTCCCCCAGACTTTTGAAATCAGATGTTCCATGCCTGGGAAAATGCATTTAAAAAAAGACACCCAACTGCCCTAGATTCTCCTGTTGCAAGCACCGGTGATATTCCCTTGAACCCTGGAGTCTGAAGTTCATCTTATGCAGAATAAGTGTAAAAACTGGAAGCTTAAAGCCCTGGGTCAGAAAGCTAGGTGGCATCTCACTTTGTCCTTCACTTCTGGGCCAGGAGCATTGGCAGTTAGATCACATTGATAGTACAGTGGGCCTCTGCTCTGCCAGAGGTGGGGCCCCAGGCTGATGTTTTAAAAACTTTCCTCTGGTAACTTTTCATGGGTAGACAGGGTTGAGAGCCACAAAGATGGGCCCAGCTCCTTCATTTGATAAAAGGTTCAGAACAAGTGATCTGCCTTGCCAGGTGACATGTTATGACAAGAGTGAGAAACCGGGGAGTTTTACAAGTGAGGGGTGAAAGCCCAGAGAAGGAAATGGCTTGTCAGCTCCCCAGTGGAAGGAAGGTGAGAGCATAGGGGATGCCTGGGAGGTCCTCAGTCCCATGTCGATGAGCACTTAGCTGACCAGGGAGTTTCTAGCTTTGTGCTAACTTGAGGTCTGGTTAGAATCTTCTAGTGGCACAGACTAAGAACCGGTGGTTCCTGGTTGGGAGTGGGAAGATGAGAAAATGGTCCTTGTTGGGGTGGTTGTTCTTGCTGCTCTGTTCTCCTGAACTCCTCCTGCCAGCTCCCTTGCATCAGGGATCACTGGGTTCTTGGTTTTACAGGTTCCGGGGAAGCTCAGGGTTGTCAAAAACTGAAGGGAGTTCAGAAGGCAAAACGATTAAAAGACCTTAAGTTATAAATTACTCTGGTGAGGTTGATGTTAATGCCTATTTCTGTGGATCAAAAAACTGAGGTTCAAAGAGGGCAGATGTTGTACTGTTAGTAGACTGGGACTCACATCTAGGCTTCTTGTGTTTTCTGAGAAGCTCTCCCAGGTCAGGTGTTTAAGGGTGGAGGGCATGTGAAGACAAGAGGTGTGGTTTCTGGCCTGGGAAATGGCCGACAGTTAGATGGCATAGTGCCAAGGAGGGGGCAGTGAGAATCTGGGGGAGGAAAGACTTCTGTGGGGGATAGGGTTGTAGGCTTCAGTTCTGAGAGATGCCCTAAGGCCACTGATCTCCATCCAGGACTCTCAAAACCTGGCACCTGGCAGCTCTCCCTTCTCCAAGGACACACAGCCATCCTAACCTTGAATGTGGGTCCTCTCCCTCCACACTCTGCTCTGGGCACCACATCCCCAGAGCAGGGCACTTGGAAGAGGACATGGCAACATGTTCTTTTTCCCACTAAGAAACTATTTCACAGAAAAGTGCACAGTGTAATGGAAGATTTGCCATCATGGTCCTGCACAAGAAATAGGATGTTAATGGCATTCTAGAAGTTCCTCGTGTGCCCTCTCAGTCACTCTCTCATTCCTGGAAGTAAATACTTTCCTGGATTTTGTGACAGTCACTCCCGTACTTTTTTTTTTTTTTAATAGTTTGGTCTCCTCATTTTATATACCCAGACAAAATGGTTTAATTTTGCCTAGTCTTAAGTGTTTGAACAATCAAAGCATTCATGTATTTATTCTTCTGTCTTGCTCCTTTGCTGGATATTATGTTTGTAAGATTCATCCATGTTGTGGCATGCAGCTGAAGTTTGTGTCATGGCCGTGTGGTATTGAGTCTATGAACATCTCATGGTTTAAAACCAATTCTACTGTTAAGGACACTTTGGGCATCTCCAGTCTGGTGGATGGCATGGCTGTGAACACATGTATACACAGGTTTGTTGGGGTATATTCTGAGGTGTGGAATACAACAGCTCTTGATTAGAGCAGCGGGTGAGCAATCCCAGCTGTTGGCTTCAAGGAGGCTGTCTCTGCACAAAAATGCAGTGAAGGATTTACTACTCCTCTTAGGGTGTGAAAGAGGCTCCTGCAATCACTGCATGCCTAGATAAGCATTCCCAAAGCAGACAGCAGAGTAATGTGGAAGCAATCAGAATATTCCCCTAATATTTTACCCAAGTTTCTATCCTCCCAGAGCATTTTCCTCTTCAGCAGGGTTAAAACACTAAGGTTCTCAGCCTCAACTTCAGGGTTACTGCAATTTCCCTTTTTCAGTAGATACAGCTCTCCACAGTCATATCTTATATCTTAAAATGTTTTCATTTTGAAATTTTATGTTTTGCAAATTGGTTTTTTAAAGTGATGGGGGTCTCACTATATTGCCCTGGCTGGCCTTAAACTCCTGGGCTCAAGTGATCTTCCTGCCTCAGCCTCCTGAGAAGCTGGGACTCTTGGGGTGTGCTACCATATCCAGCTCACTGTTATACATTCAGATGGATTGGTGGCTCCCAGATAATAAGGTTTTCTTCATGGCACCAACCTTTAGATAAAAGATGGAAAGAGCAGTGTTTTATTTGTATGTCTTTGTTTCTCATGGGACTTGCATATTGAGTGAGTGAATGCTGAATAATTCTACTCAAATTCAAGTAGCTATTTGGCTCTTGTGAACTAAATGTGTGTTATATGATATTTTTTCCATTTTTTATCAAAATGTAAAATATCTTAAATAAGAATAGCATTCAAACTTCATTCTCTATGTTATCTGCATATATTTATGAATTTTGAATTTATGAATTTTGAAAATTCATTAAGGAAACACTGAGCATGCAGTATGGCTAAGCTATAAATATCCAGTAATATAGTTTGTTATTACCTATTTTAACTGATTAAAGTTTTCTATATCTGATGACATTTTAGGGAAATATATGTTCAATCAAATCTATTTGTTCAAATCTTTTTAAAGAACTCAATGGAATTATTTTAATATGGAATTATTTTAATAAAGTCAATCATCTACTATATAATATATAGTGTTATTAAAATAATCATAAGATTAATGACCCTTTGATAATATTTTGGTTTTATAGATATTAACAAAGATCTTCTTAAAAGGGGAAAAGAGCTGACAGTATTGTTCTTATTAACTCAGTCATTGCAAAGTAAAAGGTTAAAAATTGTTTGGATAATTCCACTGAAAGCTTTGATTATCTAGATTATTGTACAGCTCTAGCCCTGAGGGGTGAGGGTGTTCTCTTATACAGTCAGGCATGTTTTGGCTTCACAACTATTGAACTGACAGAATGGAATTAAAGAAGAAAGATTTACAAAAATGACTACTTTACAACTCCTAAGACCATCCTGAATGTTTTTATTTAGTTTGTTTGCCAAAACCAGTAAAGTCAAATGACCAAGTTTGTTCTCTGCTGTAAGCAACATCAAGTTCCCCAGTCATTGCCTGGATTTGGGTTCTTTGAAATCTTATCCCTGACTATATAAGGAAGGATGTGAGTGGCCACTGCTCTTGCCTAAAACGAGATCACGGGACTCAAGACACTGAGAAGTCTAGACACTGAGAAGACTTGTTGCCTAATCCCTCAATTCTTAGCTTTATTTTGCATCATGAGATTTAGCCTAAGATTCTTTTCTTAAACTGAATCTTTTTTTGAGAGGAAAAAGAAGATGTGAATGTTTTTCGATTAGACATTATCTTTGCAGATCTTGCTTCTCTCAGTTAAAAGGATTATTTCCAAACTGCCCAGTTCTGACATATCCGTTCTGTCAACTGGGGCATTCAAAACCAGAAGTTTTCAGACAAAACCAAACTGCCAAATAGTTCTCCTGCTTGGCACTTTTCATGGGTTCCACACTTGTTACCAATGAGACAAATTAGCTTGTATGCAAAACCCATTGGCACTGTGTAACTTGGGAAGAGATCAGCACACATCCTCCAGTTCATTGAGACTGAAATGACTGAGACCAAATGGAGCTAGTGTGATAATGGGCTCCTGAAGTACTTTTTACTCACAGAGGGATGAAGAGCCCAGGTTAAGCTTGTCTTGGTTTCCATTTTAAATTGCTTTCTTAGTGAATCACAGATAGATATAAAGAACATTTATCTCTCAAATTTTGTAAAAGGGTTTTCAATGTTTAAAGTGTTAGTCAGAGGATTATGTGTCACCCCTAAAATAGCCCTAAAGAAGGCATGCAACAAGTAGCAGCTACTTTGCTCACCTACTCTCATTATCCACAGGTCTGGGGCCCTAAGAGGTCATTGAGCTAGAATTAGCTCAGCAGCTTTCCTTTCATATGTGATAATGTTTCTAAAGGTCAACAAAACACATTGAAGATAGCACCCCTCCCCAAAAAGGAACATTTAGATATAAAAGAACAACTATTTCTGGTTTGCTAAAATACAATGTTCTGATGACTATCCTAGGTCCTGGCTACTGTATGGGAATTGGGCCCCTCATTTCCCATGGTAGATTCCTGTGGATGGGGATTGGCAGTGCCTGCAACTACTACAACAAGATGTATGGAGAATTCATGAGAGTCTGGATAGGTGGAGAAGAAACACTCATTATCAGCAAGTAAGTTTGTTAATAAAATCAGAGACACAGGGGTGGAATGTGGCTCAGTGGTAGAGTGCAAGGGTCTGGGTTCAATCACCAGAACCCAAGATAATCATCATCATCATCATCATTTTGCATACTTTAAAATCAAGACTGAAGTTTTTGCTATTTAAAAAAAAAGTAATTTTGATTCCTTGATATCTTGGTAAGGCTATGTTTTTACTGCTATAACGAAGGTGAGTAATTCCTAGGTAATACTGCATGCAAACAGAATAATTGGATTGAAGCCAGAGGTACATAGATAAAGAAGTCTGGAAAGTTGGGAAATTATTCAAAACTTCTGAGCAGTGAATGTGGAAGCTCAGAATCCAAACGATGTGGTGTTGACAAAACAGACTTTAGGGAGAGGCATTATCTTTTCTGCTTTTCTAAAAATTTGGTCTTATCTCTACAAGTAAGCATTAAACAACACACACACACACACACACACACACACACACACACACTCAAGAAATTTAAAATAAAAAATTAGAACAAAACTTGAGATGCAGGATCTGACCAGTAGTTTTCTAGAGTATTTCTAACACTAGTCTCAGAGTCCTCGGAAACAGCAGACAGCAGGCTATGGCACCATTCAGGTGCTGCCATCCCTCTAAGACTGTGTGCCAGTATCCTGGCCTGGCAATTCCAAATAAGTCAGGAGCAGCATCACCCATTAAGAAACAATGTCCTAACTCCCTGCATCATTGTGTTTGCTGAGTTACCTTAGTATGTTGACCTCACTCTAGAATTAACCAAATATACATCAACTGTGCACTAGTTTTCTTGTTTATTGATCTTAAAAAAGTGAAGCATTTCAAAGAAGGCAGAATTCACTAAACTTCAGATAACTTGACAAGCACTTTAACAAAGCTATCTGCCAACAGTGTCTCACTGATAATTTTTTTAATTTACAATCCCTGACAGAGCTTTACCCACAAGCGAAAACTCACCAAGGCGTTTTAGTAATTTGGTGGAATTGTTCATCCCAATACATAAACTATTGATCAAAATGTAAGTAAAGCATTTCTGGAAACTGCATGAATTTTTCAGGCCAAGGTTATGTATTTCATTTCATTAAATATCATGGTATCCTCAAAGCCCAATTCTTTCAAACAGATTCTGAAAAAAGGAAGCAGTGGGAGAAAATATGTTGTACTTCCAAATATTTCAGACTACCTGGTAATGTTATTTTGGATCTGTCCAATACCTCAATTTTTGCCAGGGTTTTTTTGTTTCATTCAGTTTGGTGTTGAAGCCCTTTCCAGAATAGCTAAGGCAGACCACATTTATACAACTAAACATAAATGGCTGCAGGTAGACATGTCATTGCCCTGGGTTCATTGTAAAACACTGCTATAGTGGTTCTCAGAATGTTCTTCCTGGACCAGCAGCCTCAAACAACCTGACAACTTGTTAAAAATGCAAATTCTTGCCAGGTGTGATGGCACACACCTATAGTCCCAGCAGCTCAGGAGGCTGAAGCAAGAGAGTTACAAGTGTAAAGCCAGCTTCAGCAACTTAGCAAGGCCCTAAGCAATTTATCAAGACCTTGTCTCAAAAAAAAAAAAAAAAAAAAGGACCAGGGATATGGCTCATTAAAAGTGTTTCTGAGTTCAATCTCCAGTACAAAAAAAAAAAAAAAAAAAAAGCATATTTTTGGGACCCACCTTGACCTACTAAAAAGGAAAGCCTGAGGGTAGAATCCTATAGCCCGTGTTTTGACAAGCTTTCCAGGTAATTATGAGGCACACTTGAATTTGAGAACCATTGCTATATTCAATAGATCATAATTACTCTTTGATTTTACTTGTCCTGGTCAATTTAGCTCTGGTCAGTCAAATTTGAGTGAATTTGATATCCTTTTTATTTTTTATTTTTTGGTACCAATGATTGAACCCAAAGGTATTTAACCACTGAGCCATATCCCCAGCCCTTTTTTTTATATTTTGTTTAGAGACAGGGTCTCACTGAGTTGCTTAGGATCTCACTAAGTTGCTGAGGCTGGCTTTGAACTCTTGATCCTCCTGCCTCAACTTCTGGAGCTGCTGGGATTATAGGTGTGCACCACCATACCTGGCTTGAATTTGATATCGTAATATGTTCTCATTTAAAAAATCAGTACTTACAGTCACTTTTAAAACTAGTTACTGTCTCAAAAAAAAAAAAAAAAATCCTGGAACTGCTGTCCTTTGGTTTGGGGATTGAAACATTTTGCTTTTTCAGCCCCCAGCTCAGCATGCTGTCTTCCAGCCCTCCTCAGTTCTGCATGTCTGCCTTCCCTGACACCTGCTTCCCTTGACAAGCAGGTGAAGTGACCCTCAGAATATTTATCCAATAGGGGTCCACTCATGGTCAGCATCTGAAGCAGTGGCTTCTCATCCCAGATGCATATTAGAGTCTCTCAGGGAGATTTAAAAGCCCAATGCCCAAGCCTTTGAGATCAGAATCTCTGAAGTGGGAACCCAGACATTAGTGGTGTTTGAAGCTCCTCAAGACTCCTCAGCAGCCTGCAGAGCTTGGGAACCTCCCATTTAAAGAGAAAGGAAGAGGAAGAAGGTTCTGGTACAAGAGGGCTTTTGTGGTGGGTTAGGGGAAACGGCTAAGCACAGTTGAAGTGACATTGTCTTGTTGCATTACCCTTGAGTCCAGCCAGTGGTGGTGCCATAGGACTAGATTGGGAGTGAAGAATGATGGATTTGAGAGTGGAGAATCAGGCAGAAATCCCTCTCAGGAGATACTCAGATGGTACACTGAAGTCACCAGATACATTTCCTGGGTGTCCAAAGACAATCCCTGAAGTAGGATGCTTGTTGCCATTAGGATGGCATCTGGCCACCCTGCCTATCTTCATTAGGAAAGTGACCTTAGCCACTCTGACCATCTCAGGCACTGATTCACACAGAGGCGTGGACACAGCCTACCTGCCCTTCCCCCAGCTCTCTGAGTCTTTTCTTGTCCTGTTCTCTCAGGCTTTTCACTTGTTGGAGTCTTTGTGTTCTCCTTAATTGCCTCAGAGCCGCTCAATTTTGTTGTTAAAGGCTGAGCTCCCCTCAGGAATAGGACATGTTTTTCCCCATCTCCTTTCCCCGCCTGCTCTTCAAGTCCCTTCCAGAACTACCCGTACCTCTTGAAAAGACCCCATCGGACCTCGGAAAGCTTTTTATTTTTAAGTGAATAGTTTGCCATATTACTTTTTTCTTTTTAAAATTTGAAGTCTGTAGTCATTCCAACCGTGTAGCATTCAATACAACTTTTCCAGCCAGCTTAACTCCAAAGTGTTAGGGGCTGCAGAACTTCAGGGAAGGAAGTCAGGCATGAGTGCTATTGTCATGCTGCCTGAACAACCTGGGGCTTTGAGATAAGGTCTCTCTCTGGTCATCTGTGGATGAAGTATGCACAGTTCCCCTGCGTAGCTCCCAGGCAGCTACACTTAAGCGAGGGTTTACAGATGCTGTACTTGATATCATATGTCCACTGCATGTATACATTAGTTCTGTCATAAATACCCGAAACCTTTGAGTAACAACCATAAAGGGGAATTAGTAATTAACATACTAATTCAAGTTTTATATGTATATCTTCTAGCAATTAATATACTTATTAGGATTTTATTTGCATACCTTTCTTAAGTATGTGTAAAATTACAAGGGATTCACCCAGTTATTCTTTCAATATCCATTAAGAATCTATTACATACCAAGCACTCTATGATTGTAAGTTTTAATAATCATAATTGGCTTTCCATTCTTTCATTAAATAAATATTTACTAAGAACTTGCTCTGCCTATCAGATATAGTTCTACACTCTGGGGAATCAGCAATATTATACTTTGGGAATAAATCAGGCAAATATCCTTACCTTTGTGAAGCAATATATTGTTAATATACCAATATTAAGCAAGTAAAATATTTAGTATGATCATGCATCACTTAACAACAGGGGAATATTCTGAGAAATACATCATCAGGCAATTTTGTTATTGTGTAAACATCATACAGAATACTTACACTAAGATGACTGTGATGTCAGAAGATGATATAATCTGATAGGACCACCATCATACATGTGGTCCAGCATTGACTGAATCAATCAATGTTATAAAGTTATGTATCAATCAGAAGTGTGAACAACAGTCTCAATTTGCCTGAGATTAGGGGATTTTCTAAGATGTGGGACTTTCTGTGCTAAAACAGGGACAGTCCTGGACAAACCTGATGCTTGGTCACATGATTGTTAGGTGGACGTGTACTAAATAGAAAAAAGTAGGGAAAGAAGATGGACGTATAATTGTAAATAGACAATTTGAGGCAGTCCTCACTGAGAAACTAGCATTTAAATGAAGACCTAAAGGAAGTATGGAAGTGAACCACATCGAAATCCAGAGAAAAATTATTCTAGACAGAAGGAATAACAAGTGGTGAAGTCCTGCGGTAAGAATATTCAAGGACCAAACTACAAAGATATTAGAGTAGTTGAGTGGAAGCACAAAGGACATGAGATTAAAGTGAAAATTAGGCATAAGAGCTTGTCTGTCCTTACAGGATATTTTAACAATTCTGGATTTTACCCTGCATGAGTTTGAGCAGAGGAGTGACGTATCTGGCTTGTTCATGTTTCAGCAGAATAATTTTGACTGCTCTGTTTAGAATTGGCAGTGAGGGGACAAGGGATGGGAGCAGAATGACCTGTTCAGCAAGAGATGATGGTGACTGGTTCAGAATCCAGCAAGAGAGGTGGTAAGATGATGATGTGAGATTCTGGTCACATTTTGAAGGAAAAGCCAGTAGGATTTGGCTGTTGGGTTAGATGTTGGGCGTGGAAGAAAGAATAATTAAGTGATGCTCAATTTTTTTTTTGTCTTGAATGCCTGGATGAATGAGAACATCATTACCTGAGCTAACAGGAACAAGTGTGGAGTGGGGAGATGTCCAGATCATGTCTAGCTTCAGACATGTTGGACTTGACATGCCCAGTGGACATCCGAGTGGATGTTGATAGGGGAGACTAGTATGTATCCAGTTTAAGGCAGTCAGAATCTAGCAAAGGAGACTGAGAAGAAACGACCAAACAGAGAAAGGAAAACCAAGGGAGAATGGGGGTCTGCAAGCAAGGTGAATAATGCATTTTAGGAGGAGGGATTGTTAACCATGTCAGATACCGCTGATGGGCCAAGTAAAAGGATGGACACTTGAGTGTTGCTTCCAGACAGGTCATGGGTAACCTTGAAGAGAACACTTTCAGTGGAATGGTAAGGGGAAAAACTCTGGCCAGAGGAGAGAATAGAGGGTGATGAGTTAGAGGTAGCAAGTGTAGCAACTTTTCCAAGGAGTTTGACACAAAGGAGGTAGGAGATGGGCCACTAGCTGGAGAGGGATGCACAGTTGAAGGAGTTTGCATGTTCACAATAAGGAAAATCACAGCATGCAAATTGTGGTGGGAACAACCAACCACAGAGTGAAATTGCTGATACAGGAGAAGGAGAGGGTTTGCTAGGTGAGATGTGAAGGAGTCCCCAAAGCAAGAGGAAGGATTGGCCTTGAATGGGACATAGAATTTCCTCCACAGTAACTGGGGGAAGACTGAATATGTTGACCCAGATCCTGGTGGTTGTAGCTTCTGGGGATTTCCTCTAGTTGCTTCTATTTCCTCAAGAAAAATAGGAATAGAGCCTCTATCTGAGACCCAACAGCGCGGAGTGAGGGTGAGGGTAGAGAAGAATAGTCACGTAGAAGTGTGAATAGACTTGGGAGTTGGAATTGGATTTCTTGCTGCACTAAGGGCCCATCTGAATTTAACTAAGACCTGTCAGCAGGGTGAGTGTGTGAGTATGTGTGCATGAGTGTGGTGCACACATACTGTGTGATCTGTGCAAACACAGAGTAAGCTAAGGGCTGGGTTTAGCTTGATTTGATCACTTGGTTAGGGTGGTTATGGTAAGATCTCTGTTATGAGAATGGTATTTCTCTTGCTGCGACCCTAGACTTTAAGCTGGGTTAGTATTAGAATGGGCAAAGGACAGTGAAGAGGTGACAGGACTGATAGAAATTGTGTCTCAGACGCAGAGCAGTGTACGCATGGGCAAGTATTCTTAAATGTTTGTTTCCAATTATTTCCTTTATTGCCTTCTCCTCTTTCTAGCACTCACCATAGTCAAACCTGGCCACAGGTGTGTAAATTTAATAAAATAAAAATTGAGGTATTTCCTCCCTGCCATCTAAGAGCTTACTACCTGGCTACTTTTCATTTTGATTAGACAATAGATTTACCCTCTTTGGAAATGTCTTTTGACTTTAGTCATGTTTAAAGAAGAAGAATGACCCAAATAACCAGATATCTTACACTGTCCACTGTCCCTTCTAAGCCTGAGAACTCTGTTTGTTTCTCCTCAGTGCTGAGAAATCCTCTCTTTCCCAATGATATGAAGCTTTCCTCAGCCAGTGTCACCGGCCAGCCCACACAGGGCCAGGGCCAGGAGGAGTCTGGGCTGGGGTTCCTTTCTCTTCCTTAACCTTATCTTCTTCACTCTCCCAATTTACTTTGCTTAGATAGACCCAGCCTCACTTTGATAAATAACCTTGTTTTAAATTGCTCTCTTGTGGCCAGTCACAGATACTGCGCTCTGGGTACCACTTCTGCCTGATTGGCTTTGTCACTAGCCAAGTCTGAGCTTCTGACTGAAAATAATTGAGATGTTGGCGCCCCCTAAAGGACACAAAGATTTAAAAAGTAGTGTTAGCTAACACTTAGTTGGGTTTTTGACTGAAGTTTCTTATTCATTCTTTTTAAAATTGATGAGCAAATTCTTCAAAGAAATAAATTGATATTATTAACGTACTTTCCAGAATCTCTAGGGGCCAGATCAGGAAAATAGTATTCTGCTTGTCCTCAAAGTACTTAGAATTTCTAGATACAAATTTGTGAACAAAAAATATAAAATTTACTTACTTTCTACTATAATTATAGAATGAGGTAGGAGAAGATAAGAAAAGTTAGAGTTTCAAATATTTTAATTACTAAGAATTTCAGTCCTCCCTTTAGTATGGTTTTTCTATGTAGCACACAATTTTAACTGCCAGTAAAATTAATTTGCTGGAATATATATTGGAACATCTAGATTCTCATTTTCATTTTTGTTGCTACTAAGAGGATAACTTGTCCAAAACTTGAAGTCATTTGGTGAATATTCTCTGGAGCAAAATCAGGAGAATATTTTATTTTCTGAAAAGTAATTGTTAATTACATAATAATGTTTTTTTTTTCATTTCTTACCACTGCTTTTATTTCAGTGGTGAGAAAAATTTAAAATTCTAGTAGGACCATGGAATATATCACAAATGTGTTTGATTAATATGGAGTTCACAGCCTAATCCATTCAGTTAGAGCAGAGCTCTTTTGACACAGTAACTTCTATGGGAAGGTATTTTGGCAAGCATTACCTGAACAAGCTCACTAAGGTAAAGTCATCCTTTAGGAGCCAAGTGTCAACTTTGAGAGGGAAGAGCAAGTATCAGGATAGCCTCTTCAGCCCAGATGAGAATCAGGTATGTGTAGCCACTCCCAAATTTTAAGGGTTATGTGTTCTGAAAATCTCCATAGTAGAATTTGCAGTTGAGAAACAAAATTTCAGAGACGTGGGGAGGGAGAGACAAAGTGGCACTGAATACATGAAACCTTGTATAAATATTCAATTCACCAGAATTTAAAAAAAATAGCCACATCTGAAATAAAGAAAATAACAATGTATTTTATGCATCTTGAATTTGCATATGGGGCACCATGCAAACTACACTATCCCTATACTTGTAACATCCCATATTTTAGGAGAAAACTGTTACCCTGAGACCTTGATAAGTCATTATGGAGACAAATTGAGACACAGTGCTCATAGATAATTTCTCTCACCAGCACAGTGAGCCTTCCAGGCCAGCCCATCCAGGCTCTGAACAAGCCCAGGGCCAGAAGTACCCAGGGTGATCTCCTCTGAGCCTACCATGATACCATACTGGAGGGACTAGGCCTGATGGGAGACTCTAGGGGTTGGGTGATAAAGTCAGAAATATTGGTTCCAAACGAACAAAACAAGACCTCAATAATTCTAGCAACTTCCAATTCTGTGACTCACTCTTACAGGCAGTGGCACTGTCTGAAGTGGGGCCAAATGGAAACCAGGAGGCTGGAAGCTCTCCTGACTCTTGTGGTGCAGAGGATCCTTCTTCATAACAGCCTTGCAGCTCTGACTTTGGTGGTGGTTAATGGGTTGGTGACTTGGGGTTAGAGAAGAAGAGGAAATAAAGAACAATGTGGTGTTTGTTTTATTGTTTGTGATGCTCAGACAAGGAGTCAGTAGGTAGAACTGATTCAATTGGAGATGGTGCTCTCATGCCAACAGATGTATTCATTCAATCTGAATACTAGGAACTAGGCATTGCACCTGAATTTGCTAAGGGAGCCATCACAGTCAAGATGCATCACCATGATTTCTCTCCATGGTGAATTAACACTGCGGTTTGCTCTCTTTTCAGGTCCTCAAGTATGTTCCATGTAATGAAGCACAGTCACTACATCTCCCGATTTGGCAGCAAACTTGGGTTGCAGTGCATTGGTATGCATGAGAATGGCATCATATTTAACAATAATCCAGACCTCTGGAGAGCAGTACGACCTTTTTTTATGAAAGGTAAGCAGGGGCTCAGCTACATACTTCTATTTTATCTATGAATGTGACTTTCTTAAAATTATATTTTAGGAGCTGGGGCTGTGACTCAGTGGTAGTGCACGTGCCTGGTATGTGTGAGTCACTGGGTTCGATTCTCAGCACCACTTATTAAAAAAATAAAGATCTATCAGCAACTAAAAAAATTTTTTAAATTATATTTTAAATTTTGCTGTCTCACAGCTTTGAAATAATACTAATGAGAAGAAGGGCTAATGCTCTTTATACCTTTATTATATCTTAGATATTGTTCTAAACACTTGATATTTTAATCCCACAGCAACCTTATATGATGAATTCTCTTATCACCTGCATTTTCCAGAAGAGAAAACTAAGGAATAGAGAGGTTAAGTAACTTCTCCAAGGTTCCAACATTAGTAAATCGTAGTCCCCAAGATGTAACACCAGAGCCTACATTTATAACCCCCACAAATTCGGTTCTTCCTGTGAACATAGAAAGCAAATTCATGAATGTGAAGAAGAAAGAGACTGGTATTCATAGGATCATTTCAATTAAGAATTCAGTGTCAGCCATATGTTTGATTAAACATGATTGATGGTTATTGAATCGTTAACAATCATGACGTTTCATGAGAAAACAATTTGTGAAGAAAATTAGAAAACTTTAGGACAGGGAAGGACTGTGTATGTTGCCTCATCTGGTCTCTTGAGTTTTATAGTTAAGAAAATAAAGTCCTAGAGGGGTATGATTTTCACCCAGGAAGCACAGCAAGTCCTGCAGGAGACCTGATTTCAAGCTTCCTTATTCAGTGACTTTCTTCTTTTACTATGTCTTCCTGGAAAGGAAACTGTTGGGAATATTAACGCCCATCCTTTGACATTAATATTAAGCATCAAGAAAGATAAGTATGCCCTGGAAATCTTGTCAGTGATGTGATCTGGAGCTAGGTGGACTTTAGGTCAGTATTCTTCCCTCAGTCAGCCTCTCATATGATAAGTTTGGGTCACCTGGATAATCCACAATAATTTCTTCCTCTCAAGGACCTTCACTGAGTCATCTCTGCCAACTCCCTTTTTCCATTGTAACATATTAGTAGATTCTGGGCAAATCAATATCCCCAGGCCTTACAATACTGCAGAATAGATTAATGTACAAGTGTAAGACTCTGGGTTATAGGTTGTTCATTCAAATCCCAGTGCTGCCACTAACTAGCTCTATGACCTTGGGCAAGTCACTTAGCTTCTCTGCACTTCAGTTCTCTTATTCACAGAAGTTGATAAATATTATAAAACTTATACTCTTGTGCTATTGTGAAGAACATATTAAATAATGCCTTAAGATCCCCTAGAAGAATAAATTTTATTTTACCTTGTCATTTGACTCTAAATAAATATGTGAACTAGTATTTAGGAAAGTAGTTAACTTTGGGATTGGGAAGGGGCAGGCCAGCACATGACCAAATACTGTCCTAGATGACAGTAATGCTCAAGGTGTGCACAGTGCTGCAGAGCACAGACCAATGGGCCATCAAGCCACCAAGGGATAAAGAGAGAGCTTTCAGAGGAGTGGATGCTTACCATGAATTTTGAAAGAAGTTAAAGCTACTAATTAAGCAAGTATGACAAAAGACATTCTAGGGGTAAGCAAAAAAATATGCCAAAGCAAAGAAGGATAGATCAACATGACATATCCAGGGACCTGTCAATAATTCCTGGTGCCTGGCTTGGATACATGGAAGGATGAGGTCATGTGGAGGGAGCCACCAGACCCTTCTGAACTCTTGAGGTTATCTCAAGAGCTTTGAGGAATCACTAAAGATTTTAGCAAAATGATATAGATCTATGTGTGTTTTTAGAAAAACTCCTCTGCTGGCAGAGTGAATGATTAATTAGAAAAAAAACATGATTATCAGCAGTGAGAACAGTCAGGAGCTACTGAAGTGATTCAGGATGGATGGAGGGGAGTCCACAGGTATACGAAATGTTAAAAGAGTAGAACCTAAGGCCAATGTGGTGGTGCATACCTATAATCCAAGCTTTTGGAGAGGCTGAGGTAAGAGGATCACAAGTTTGAAGCCAGCCTTAGCAACTAGTAAGACCTCAAATTTAAAAAATGAAATAAAAAAGGCTTAGGATATAGTTCAGTGGTAAAGTGCCCCTGGGTTCAATCCCCAGTAAACCTCCCACACACACACAAAAAAAAAAGAGAGAGAGAGAGAGAGAGAGAGAGAGAGAGAGAGAAGAAACTGTAGTACCAGCAAATTAAATTAATCAAAACATCTTTGTGAATTTTTAATTAGATTAGCCCTATTTATGTAAGATCAGATTTTCTAATAAAAATGCTGCAGTTGCACCCAAATTAAATGTCCCAAACTACGAAGCTAAGAGCTTATAAAAAAGTTCACTGTGGTGCCTCATTCCTTATAGTCAGTGAGAGTCCTGAGCATTTTTTTGAGGAATCTCTTTTTGGAGTTAGGCTCTTTGTTGGTTTTTCAGATACAATAGAAAGGTGGACACAGGTTTTGGTATCAAAACCAGTAACATTAATGAAATTTTAAACTTATTGGGTGTGTCTACAGAAAAAAAGCTAGGTGCACCTTAGGAAAGGGTTTATCCTGGAAGGTGGTGGAAGAGGCAGGAGGGTGGAAAGAAGGTATATGTTTCCTGAAATTACCAAAAGTTTGTCCATGTTGATGAAATTTGATTACTTGCTCAATTTTTTTGGCCTAGATAAATAATATTTTTAAACATATTTTTAGAAATTAAATAATATAATCACTACTGCCTATAAGAAATGATATTACATTCTCCCTATCAGTGTGAAATGTGGCTTCAAGCTCTTAGACACAGAGGCAAATCATGTATCACCCTAAAAAGAAAGCCACCAGTGATTTTGGAAGCTAATCTTCCATGCAAAGGGTGAATCATTAAGGAATGATTTATTCCACTTGCAGATGTGATAGCCACCCAGAGAACAATGCCTTGGCCCTTCCTGTCTGCTGGGTTCTTCCTGAAATCAGAAAGAATGCTCCTACCTCAATCTTCTTTTTTTCATGTATGGAAATCTTAAATGTCTAAACCACTCCTCAGGGCTCCTTTCTCAGGTGCAAAGTCTGCCTTGATGCATGGGCTGTTGCCACTTCAAAGTTTTTGTTGTTGTATTGTTGTTTTATTTTGTTTGTTTCCATTCTTCTGAGAAAGTGACCTTTTGGAGTTACCTACAAAGTTCCTCAGAATTTATTATCTTGTCTGGAGGACTCTTAACAGCAAGTCTGAATAATAAAAGGACCTACAAAAAGAGACTACTCCTAAAGGAAGCTTTAAAAAACATATCAAAGAGGGACAGAGGAGCTTAAGCTTTCATTATGGACCATCAGGACCCATAAGCCAAAGCCACTGCCCTGGTGGTCAGGAACAAGGCAAAGAGGAGGGCAGGGCCAGTTCACTCTACCTGTTTTCCTTCCTTCAGCCTCTATTTGGCAAACAATGTATCAAGGGCCTGGTGTACTGTTGACTAATAAGCAGTTGCCACTGAATTTCCAGTTTCATGGGAAACATTGAAAAGCAAACTAGGCATCACTTAGCAAGTCGTTGGTTGAGTAAAATAAATCTGGAAGCAATTTGAAGAGAAATTGAAATTAAGACAAGGACATTTTTGGTGATTTGAAAAGCTAGCATTTTTACAACTATAATGTACAATTAAACAGGAAGCACCTTGGGTCAAATAGTTAAGGGTCATTTTCACTGGTTCTGTAGTGGTATCCTGCCACCTGTTGAAACAGAAAATAATTATAAGCCAGGCCAAATCCAAACTGTCTTTAAAGGGGAAATGTATAAAACAAATATGAAAAATCACTGATCATGACTATGACCACAAATATTAAATGTTTCATTTGCAATCTCACAAATGATTTGCCAGAGCATGAAGGAAAGCTTAAGTTTAAATAGCTTGTTTAAAATAATATCCATTCATCCACTTTTAACCATAAAGTTAAGGGAATGATTGTAGAAAATTAGGAAAATATGGGAAAGTATAAAAAAGAGTATGAAAATTTCTAACCTATCATTGAATGCAAAAGTGAGGACAATTGAGCTCCAAACACAAAATGCCAAAATAGCCTGGTGGTTTGTGAGCCCTGGAGTGAGTGACAGCTGATTCTCTGATGTGTGTTCTTTAGCTTTAACAGGCCCTGGCCTTGTTCGCATGGTGGCAGTTTGTGCTGAATCCATCATAAGGCACCTGGACAGACTGGAGGAGGTCACCAATATGTCGGGCTACATTGACGTGTTGACCCTCATGCGGCGCATCATGCTGGACACCTCTAATATGCTTTTCTTGGGGATTCCCTTGGACGGTACTGAACTTTTCACTCTTGTGATTTGACATTCTGCCCTTGATGAAACAAGAGGATGAGAGGGATAGCCAACTAAACATGTGCTGTTTTGTACAGTTCTCTTGTTTAAACATTTCTAAGTATTCCTAAGGCACCCCATCCCCCAATGTTTCTGCCTTGTTCACTTATAAGATATAAATTTCCATGAAGTAGGGGCCAGCCTTTCTTTGCTATCTATCCTCATTGCTTTAAGAAATAGCATTCTACTCTGATTAAGACTTAGCAGATAATTTGGTCATTAACGTATCCTACCACCAATAAAACGGGTATATTTAACCATTTCTAACCATTCTTTTGGGCATGATATATGTGTGTGTGTGTATGTATATGCATGTACATATATGTGTGTATACATACATGTATATATGTGTGTACATACATATATATAGATATAAAAGCTATCAAATATGAAAACTTGATTCTGTTTGATAAAAATGATGGTGATGCTGCTGCTGTTGCTGATAATGATAGAAATGATGATGATAGCTGCCATTAATTTAGTATCTACTATGTACCAAATAGTATGAAAGATTGCTTTCCATGCATGCTTGCCATTTAATACTTATAATAACCCTGACAAGATGTCTCACTTTCCTCACTATGTTATGTAAGTGAATACTAAAACTTTTTCACCAAAAAGCAATGAAATAATTGAATTGAATATGTTAATTCCATTCTATTATTGATGTTACATCCAGGTTAGTGTGATTTTTCCTGAATTAATTTACACCAGTGTTCATTGATTCACACTTTTATTCAGTAAATACATATTGATGATCTATTTTATGCTAGGCACTGTTCTTGTTTCTGGGGATACAGAAATAATACAGGTGAAGTTTTTACCCTCAAGGAGCTTACATTCTAAGGGAGACATGGACAATAAAACAAGTAAATATTGAAAATTTATTAGACAGTAATAAGTGCCTTGAAGTAAAAACAAAGCAGGGTAAAAAGAGCAAAGCGGGAGCAGTGGGGTGGGCATGGCTGGTACAGAACAGGTGATCAGGAAAGGCATCTAGGGAGAGGACATCTGAACGTGGCCTGAATGGAGTGAAGCCGTGAGCCATGTTCAGATCAGAAGGAAGAATAGTCCAGGCAGAGCAACCATACATGAAATTTAGCATTTGCCCAAACCACCTGAGATAGACCACTCATGGCCTGGTTTGTGGCATTTGAGCAGGTAGACAAGCTGTAAGCTTTCTGTTTCTCCTCCCAAGCTCCCATAGCCTCATTTCTTCTGCTATAACTGATCCTTATTAGAGCTATAGAAATTTCATCTGACTGCCAGGTGGATAGGAGCCTCCATTCACTCTGAACTATTTTAGTCACAACCTCTTGCTTGGTCCCTTTCCATCCTGTTCTACATACCTCACTGCCCTGCTCCTTGGTTCTCCCAAGTTTCAATTGTTAGGAAGGGTTCTGTAAAGTGAATTGAAAATCTCTCTGTTAACTCATGAGTACAGAATGTGATGTCAGAAAACCTGCATAATGCATATGGGGATATGTTTATTTCCATTTACACTGGGCACCTGTTAAACTCTCAACTTGCCTTTGGGACCCGGTACAATGAAGAAGAGCATCATCCTGAGATCAGACAGAACTGGGCTCTAGCCTGAGGATCTTCCTGTCACACTGGCTGTATGATGTTGGTCAAGTCTCATTTTCTATGAATTGCAATTTTTTTCATATGCAAAATGATAAAACTACTACTCCCCTGGTAAGATGATAAGAATTAAATCAATCCTTTGTAAAGCACCTAGCATGGTGGCTGATATTTGATAGTTGAAAAATGTTTAGTTTTTGTCTAGTGGTACTCATGTGACTAAATTGTTAACTGGTGATGGAACCTTGCTCAGCTTAGAGCCCCAGACAGGAAGGAGAATCTGTAGGGAATATTCTCTGCTCAAAATACTCTTCTTAGGCTCACATTTTGCTCAATGGCTCTATTTTTGTTTTTGTTTTTCAGAAAGTGCCATGGTGGATAAAATCCAGGGTTATTTTGATGCATGGCAGGCTCTCCTTCTCAAGCCAAACATCTTCTTTAAGATTTCTTGGCTATACAAAAAATATGAAAAGCCTGTGTAAGTAACACAAGTTTGGAAGATTTATAAGTGCAATCAGAAAGGACTTTTTTGTTTCTTATTTTCCATTGTGTCTTTGCTGTTGTTAGCCTCTTTGGTAAGTTTTACATTTCTAGAGCCCATGGGGATTTTTGATTAAGTTGCCAATGAAACACTAATAGTAATTTGGCTGTTTTTAGTTAGATGAGACAGTAAAAAAAAAGCCGTTGGCCAACCAGCTTCTCAGCCAGGGTGCTGAGTGTGTGGTCCGAGAGCTCATTTCTGGAACAAGGACACTGCAGTGTACTTGAGAAAGGTTGGCTAATCCTAACATTAATATCTGTGAGAACTCTCTTTTCATATCTGGAAAAATGGAAACACAGAACCAATTTGTAGTTGTATTGCTTCTGAATGCATTTAACATAATTCAAACCAAAGAATTGATAGTAGTCCCCAAAGAATTATTGCATAATGACTATAATGAACTTCAATAAAATGTGTGATTTTTTTGTTATATATTTTTTGTTTTGGAGGTCCTGAAACTGTCATTAAGTGACATTGTTTTAGTCTTAAAGTAGTCCAGTAGAAAACTAGACAAATGCCCCAAAGCTTACAGACTAATTATGGGTTTTTAGAGTACAGCTCCCCAGCTACCAAACACTGCCTCCTCTGACCACCAGTGGGAAACCCATGTGATTCAGAGGCAGAAAGTCCCAGTTTGTATCCTCTCCTACCATTTAGAACTAAATGGCCTTGGGGAGTTATTTAAAGTAAAATATAAACCCCTCTAGAGTGGGAATACAGGTTTATGAGGTCACATATATAGAGCAATGAGATCTAAGCACAGCAGAGTGGGCATTAAATATGTTAATTTCCCTTTTTCCTATATTTATATCTTCTTTAAGCATCCCTAACCATCTTAAGTTCTTCATTTCTAAAATGTCCCAGAGATTTTTGAAGACCCAATTTTATCCTTTCTGTGGATTTTGAAATTCAATAATATTAGTTTCTGGGGAGGAACCTAACTTGATGTTGCTTTGCATGGTCTCGTGTGGTTGGTGAGTATTAGGTAAATGATTTGCACAATTGGTTCTTTACACATTTCCTTTTCTTTCACAGAGCTTACTGTGACTTTAATGAATTAGATAAAGGATTTATCTCTTCACTGTGATCAAACTTGGTGGTGGTGGTATTCTAAAGAGTTTCATTGTGTTCTTTTAAGTTATTAGTTTAGCCTTGGCCTTGGCCATAGAACAAAGCAGTAAACTGTATATTTATTTCTCTCAGAAGTCTATAGAAAGGAGCTCAGCAGCATTTCCTCTGTATATCACAGTTGCCAATGATTAGTGCACTAATTTATATCTCCTATAGTAACAAAGACCTAGAGAAATCTTTTCATCTCTTCCACCTAACACTTAAAATAATGTCAGTACTTTTTAAAAATACATTTATGGGAAGATAAATGGACACCTACCTCTACCTTTATTCGATTTTATATTTTTGCTTCTTTTAATTCCAAATATCATAGTAGTATTGTTTTCTATGTTTTGTTTTTGTAAATGTAAAGCTTTTCAGCCCCATAATACCTTGGAATAGGTGTTTATAGTCTAGGCTGGTAGCCTAGTCTTTAAAAATGTATTCAGAATTCCAAACAACTGATTCACAGGTACATTCTCGATATACATGCTTGTAAGTCAGAGATTTCCTAGTTCCTGAAAACTGTCATTTAACTCAATTCTTCCAGTTTTGAAGGGCATATAAATTCAGATGCATACATTTATGCAGTTATTAGGGCCAACTTGTAACTTGAATAGGAAAGATCCTAATTTGCATTCACAGTCCACTAATGCAAAATTTTGAATTCTGGCTCAGGAAGGAAGTATATGCTCAATAGTGGCTGCAGTTCTATGAAAGAACTGTTTATGAATTCAGAATGTAGGGGCATCCAAACACCTTCCAGGCCATTTGGGGGCTAGTGCTCCAGTAGAAATACTATCAGCATTCTAAGCCTACTTGAAAAGAATCATCATAGCTCACCAATTGAATAGATATCTGTCTTCCTTATGTAGAAGATGCTCAACCAATATATGCTGAATAAATGGATGGGTAGGTGAATGAATGAATGTGAATACATCTTTGGTAGATATCTGGAAGGGTGTGCATGTGTGTGTGTATAGGTATACTCATAGAGATACACAATACATGCATCCTCATTTACAGCCACACAATTACTCTCTTAAAGTGTTTAAATATCTTCCTTATGATGTTCAAAAGAAATTTTTTTAAAATGAGGAACATTGATGGAAGATTCGTCTCTTACTTGATGAACTGTACTAAAAATAGAGGCTATTGATTTGTGACCATATCAATAAGAATTTGAAATAAAGATATGTACATTTAACGTAACACAGAATATTGTCCCCTAGGATGAGGGAACAATATGCTTACACATGAACACATACATGTAAGGACTAAGACAAGAATGGAACTTAGACCTCAAGGTGACCTTATTGTTCATCTAAACATAAGGCTCGGAAATGTAAAGTAGGTTACATAGAAAGTGAGTAACCTGGGCTAGAACCTCACTGGTTGTCCAAGGAGCTCTCCCTTTACCACAATATGCATACACATATTCATGCTGCTACTTATTCCTAGTGCTTACAGTAAGGCAAAAGTCACAGGTATGAGAATAAATATCAAGAATAGTACCCACCTGAGTTTACTGTCTAGTACAGGAATTTTATACTCAATAGTCTTCAGGGCCTGGCAAATAAAACTGGGCTGTGAGGCTATAAGAAGGCAGGAAATGGAAGCGCCTACGACAAACTGAAGAGTGCTTGCCCCAACCAAAGACATACATGGGCTCTTACTTTAAACACTGCCTACCAAATCAGAAGTTGCAAAACATGGCTGAGTGTAGCCTTTGGTATCAGTGTTTAACCCTTAACTAAAAAGTCACAGCTTTAATTTTACTACCTGTCTAGATATCTTAGTTAACTCTGATGCCTTAACAAAGTATAAACGTATGTAATTTAGGAATGTTAGTGAAGAAATAAAATATGAATTTCTTTATTCATGAACACCACTGGCTTCAAGGGAAGCAGGACATTTTGTTTAAACACACAGGAAAACAATGTTTTTCTAGAGGCTTAAATTGAGATTATATTTTGACTTTTTTTTTTCCAGCAAGGATTTGAAAGATGCCATAAATATTTTGGTAGAAGAAAAAAGGCAAAAGGTTTCCACAGCAGAGAAACTAGAAGACTGTATGGATTTTGCCACTGAATTGATTTTTGCTGAGGTACTGATCTAGACTAACCATAATTCCCTACCCAACATGTTATGACTGTTCATGTACATGTGTGTGTGTAAAGATTCCCTTTTATAATAGTTGCATATGTCTGCTTTTAAGTATTTTCCCTAGAAGTACTATAAACCCAACCCAAATATCCCATGCAGACATTCTAGTAAAACTGGTCTTTAAAATTGAAAACTCTTCTGTACCACAATACAGCATATGAAATCAGGAAAGAGGAATATTAAAGACCTTCAATATAATCATTCCTCTGCATTTAAGGGAGTTCATCCAGAACCCTTTTCAGATACTCAAATGCAAGGATGCTCAAGTCCTGTATAGAAAGCAGAATATTTACATAAAACCTACACATATCTTCCCACATACTTAGAATCATCTCTAGATTGCTTATTTGAATACAGTGTAAGTACTATGTAAATGGTTGGTATACTGTATTGTTTAGGATATAATGACAAGAAAAAAGGTCTCTATATGTTTACTACAGACACTATTGTTTTTTCAAGTAGTCTCAATGTCCAGGTGGTTGTTGAATCCATAGATTGGAGCCCAAGGATATGGAGGCTAGACTACATGTAGATAATTGTCTAAACTGTTCATCGTTCAGCTGTAGATTGTCACGTGAAATGTTCATAGTCAATTATAGAGACATGTAATTTCTATAATTTCATTTTATTGAGGTTGTTGAGCTTGAGGGTCACTTCCCCTCATTTTATTGAAACTGATTACTTTTTCAATTTTCCCCCTCTTTGAATTGTTCAGAAACGTGGAGATCTGACAAGAGAGAATGTGAACCAGTGCGTATTGGAAATGCTGATTGCAGCACCTGACACTATGTCTGTCACTGTGTACTTCATGCTGTTCCTCATTGCAAATCACCCTAAAGTTGAAGAGGCAATAATGAAGGAAATACAGACTGTTGTTGGTAAGAATTTATCAAATAAATAATAGAATTTAAAAGATAATCCTTTTGATTGCCAATTTCTTATGTCCTAAGAAGGAGGTCAAACACAGAATTCTTTTTATAATCCACTTGGAGAAAAATAAAACAAGTAATTCTATCACAGTTGGACTATGCCAGGTAGGTTGAAAAGATGGTTCTCTCTGTTTTTTACTATAAAAATAATACATGCTCATTGGGAAAATTCAGAAAACAGAGAGAAGTGTAAAGTAGAAAATGATAACTAAAAGGATTAGTTCCCAATCCTTTCCACTGTCCTTCCTGACCTCATTGTCATTCCCAGAGCTAACCAGTGTTAATTATTTGCTGTTTATTCTTCAAGATCTTTTTTCTATGTGTATACAAACCTAACTCATTGTTGGATTTGTCTTTCAAAAACTTGGGATTGTGTATGCTATGCCTGCTTTATCAGTTCAAAGGCCTTTGTGGGTCCACCCAGGAAAAATGGCTGCTATTTACAGCATTGTTTCTGGATTTCAAGCAACTCAGTCACAAATGAACTTCCAATTGGTGACAGAAGGAAGAGGAGAGAATAACAGCAAAGACAAGGGAGTGAAAAGTTTCCTTCTGGACTCCAACCCAGTGAGGCTCACCCTCATCCCTGATGCCTCTCCTCCTCCTCTGCAGGGAGCCACCAGGTCTCCCTCTACTTTCTCCCCTCTGTTTCCATGGCCCTGCCTGTTTCAGCACCATCCTGTAGTAACTCTCCACAAAAGCATTGCCACAGTCACAAGAATCAGACCACCTTCTGGGAAAAAACAGAGGTCCTTATTTGGAATCTCCTTCATATTGGTAATCTTTGCAGGAGCACACTTGGGCTGGTGGGAGGGAGAGGACACATCAAGCCCAGTGGAGTGAAGAGAAGGCTGGAGTTCAAGGCACAGAGGGAAATTGCTTTTGAGACCATAATACATAAGCCTTTAATATAACTTTGATACAGTTTCCTCAAGAGGTGAAACGTGTTTGTACTTATTGATGTTCTCCTGATCCTTCAGCAGACCTCTGCAAAGACAGAAAAACAGCAGAGCCACTTGCACAAATGTCTGTCCTCCTTCCTGTACTCATTTGCTTCCTAGTGGATGCCTTTGGTCACCTTCCCCATCATCCTCCCTTCTACCTCTCCACCCGAGTTAAACATACTCCACTACATCCTTGGGTACAAAGACCAATATATGTGGGGCAGGGCTTCTTACTTTGGTTAGACTCAGAACCCTGGGCCAGTTCTGATTCTTCAAAAGTGGTGGCCCATTTGAGGAAATGCCGAAGCTCTGCCACCTCTGGGACTAATTCAAGCCTCTTTGAGCAATGTCATACCAGTCTGAGGCAGTGAGTGTGCCCATCAATCCCCAGTCCCACCAGGACTGATCTGAAATACCTATTTTATTTTGGAGGGGAGTTCTTGCCACACTACTGTGAAAGGTTGTTCTTGAAGAGATGTGGAGACATGTGGGCAGGTGACTGTACAGTAACCAGAGGAAAAAATGTTGTTGCAATGGATTGAATCCACTGTCTCACTTTGACTGTGCAGCAGCCCATGCACCCTTTTTGGGGATGGTTGTGCTGTGAGTTTGCTCACAAGTCCAAAGAGGAAATGAATGACTCCTAGAATTTAGAGTTGTGTGTAAAAGTCAGATTTCAGAAGCCAGGCAGATTTGAATGGTGTATGAAGGGAATTAGATATGGTCCACAGGACCCCCTTTAAAGGGGTAATCGGCCCCTCATCTTCAGCCCACTGTTGTCCTGTGGGAATGTGGGTCCAGTGTTTCTGACTTTTCAGGAAATCTCAATGTTTCTATGAAATCTTCCAGGTTTTAAGATAACTGTCTAGATATCTGAATTTTTATAGACATAATTGTTTTTCAGTCAAAAGTAAACTGTTCTATAGAAAAAAATAGGAGTGTCAGTACTCAACACATATTGAAACTACATTACCTTCCTTGCCCACTTTTCTCTCACAGGTGAGAGAGAGATAAAGATTGACGATGTGCAAAAACTAAAAGTGATGGAAAACTTCATTTACGAGAGCCTGCGGTACCAGCCCGTAGTGGACTTGGTCATGCGCAAAGCCTTACAAGATGATGTGATTGACGGCTACCCAGTGAAAAAGGGAACTAACATTATTCTAAATATTGGAAGAATGCATCGACTCGAGTTTTTCCCCAAGCCTAACGAATTTACTCTTGAAAATTTTGAGAAGAATGTAAGAGCCCTTCTTAAAACTGAATGTACCACTCTCGGCAGTTTCAACTGTTGAATCTGCTCTGGGTCTGTGTTTGCACCACACGCTTTTCATTCTTCTTACCCATTCCTGTCTGCCAGCTCACTCGGAGCACACATGTTCCCTGGCTTAGACACGGCTATCAAGTTCTTCCTTAAGCCAAGGTTGCTGGGTCTCCAGCTCTGTAAAATATCTAAGTGGGAGCAACATGGTGGCTCAACATGTGAAAAATCTAGGCCCCTAATTTTGCTAAAGTGAGATAAGTTATATTGAATCCAGTGAATCTACTTTTCCATTTAAACTGATCACTTTGTCATCATCCAGATTCAGCTAGCACTATTTAAGCAAAAGAAATCCATTTCTGCTTTAGATGGAAATTAAGTGAGACCAAAAGATCTGACTTTGGTTCATCAAATAGTCTTATGAGCAGCAGGTCTCATTCTAAGTAAGACTCAATAAGTGGAAGAGATTCTGCTTTTTCTATACTTGACTTATATTGGAGATTCTGCCTCCATTCTGTCAAATTTTAGACAACAGTATTTTTTTAATTTTTAAAAAAGTTTTTAGTTGTCAATGGATCTTTTATTTTATTAATTTATTTATACATGGCACTGAGGATCAAACCCAAGACCTCATGCATGCCAGGCAAGTGCTCTACCACTGAGCGACAACTTCAGCCACAACAGTATTTTTAAGCCTGAATTATCCAGATAATTCAGTGCTCTCTTTTCCCACTTGCATATATCATAGAAACATGAAGTTAATTCAGTACTTTAATTTATCCTGTTTCTATATAGGCAATCTAGATAATATCCTGTAAATCAGTCAATTGGTCAAAAAACATGTATTGAACATCTATGTGCCAGGCACTATGTAAATTCAGATTTGAACAAGACAGACGGACATGGTCCTCATTAATTTTCTTCATAACTAAAAACAGATGCTTAGTTCTGACATGTTTTGTCTGCATTTGTCCCTTTTCATCAGGCTTATATGGCATCACACAGAAACAGTCTTTGCGTTGGAGACTTGCAAAGCAGCAGGAGAGCTGTGGGTACTCTCCAGAGCTAGTTGAGTACCCCAGCATTGCCTGTAAAAAGTTGATTTGCTTTGCTTTACTCCAGCTCATTTACATGAATAGCAAAAGTGGAGACTGAGGATGAGTCTGCACAAAAGGTGAATCACAATAGATCAGAAAGGGGTTTATTTATTCAGTCCTTCAAATCAGTGAAGAAGCAGTATGGCTGAGACCCCAAAACAGAGTGTTCTGACTGACCAGTGTTTTCAGAGTGAAATCAGAGACTGTATTGCATGACTCTGGCCTTGAACACTCTGGCTAATGGTCTGATCATTTTCATAGGTTCCTTACAGGTATTTTCAGCCATTTGGCTTTGGGCCCCGCAGCTGTGCAGGAAAGTACATTGCCATGGTGATGATGAAAGTTGTCCTGGTTACACTTCTGAGGCGATTCCATGTGAAGACACTGCAAGGAAAGTGTGTTGAAAACATACAGAAGAAAAATGACTTGTCCTTGCACCCAGATGAAACAAGCAACCTGCTAGAAATGATTTTTACCCCAAGAAATTCAGACAAGTGCCTCAAACACTAAAGAAGGTTGTTCAGTGACTACTCTGGAGCATTTCTCATCAGTAGCTCACATGGGAACCATTCACCCTTGCCAGGTAATATCATCCTCACAGTGAACATTTGGGCCCAAGGCATACCTCCTATGGGCCTTCAGCAAGATGGGAGCTATGGGACATCTACCCTCGTCCAAACTAGAGAACCAGGATGCAAGAGAAAAGAGGCCATGGGGAAAGTAGTCAGTGAAGAAACTGCAGTCCAAAAGGACCAATTCCACAAAATATGCTTTGGAAAAGATAAGTAATCCACTACACCTACATCTGGTTTCCTACAGGATCTCCACTGCCCTGCCCCAAAGCATTTTAATGTCTGGGCAGAAGCACTGGAATTGATTAGAAAAGCCAGGCCAAGTCTGAGTACCTAGGGCCAAACACATCTGCTAGTGTGAATAAAACAGCTTTCTTTTTTCTTTTCTTTTCTTTTTCTTTTTCCTTTTTTTTCTTTTGTGATGGTAGAACAGCAACATTCAGACACTTTGAAGAAATACTTAGACAATTTCAGCATTTGACTTTTCTCGTGAGTTAGGCCCAGTTACCTATTATGTATCCACATGTGATCTGACTGTGGCAAAAGTTGAATCAAAGAATATCCTTTCCCAGTCTCTCCATTCATGTCTCAAATACCTCTGCTATAGTAGGTATAGATTCAGGTAATATAAGCTAACTTAGTAATAGCCTGGGTAAAATATAACTAGGACTCTACATCTGATATCAGGGGGTAGGTAATAAAGGGTAGAAATCACATGACGTATTCCAAATTCAAATAAAAATCCCTTTTCCATGTTTGCATTGTTGCTCAGCTCCAAAATAGCATGGATAACAAGAGATGACTTTAAACAGTCACATAGCCCTTACCACAGCATCAGTCATTTAGGAGTGAGAAAGCCCTCTGAATCTGTATCTGGTACTACAGCCCAGTGGGTTCTGACTTCTAAGGAGTGCTCCTGTTACCTCATTCCTTTGACATTGTCTCCCTCCCTTTCCTTCCATGCCCCCAAATCCAAGGGCAACAATCAGTAAGGAACATGGTTGATGTAGAACCCCTGCAAACCATTTTTTTTTAAAAAATCCTACCTCAAATTTAATAGTTACCTTAGAAATTTAACCGTTATCTAGTTTATTGAATCATTGTATGTAGCCATGGATAAAATGTACACCTGGAATTTTCTCTGTATAAGGAATCAAATAAATGGGTCAATTTTCCAAATACCACTTTACTTGTGTTTATGATCACTTCCAGTGTATTTATTGGGTGTTACTAAAAAATTGAGAAATTAAGCTCATTTACAAATATGTTAATATGTCTACTGCGTCAACAGCCATCACATCCCATCTGAGCATCCCTCACATCCTACTATTTAGCAACAAGGCAGCTGAGTAGAAACTGAGTATAAGTTCCTTGAGAGCAGGAGCTGTTTTCCTTCTCTTATCATCTGTCCCCATCCTCATCACCCTAGTCTCTCCATATTTGCTGTCAAGATGAGTTTCAAAGAGACACTCTTGCCCGTACATACTTTCAATTGACCCAGAAAACAAGCTAAGAAGAGGTAAGTATTCTAACAATCAAAGATGTGCATTAGTGAAGAAGGAAATACTTGAGCTTGGAATTATTTGGATTCTCTCTATGGTCTAAAGATACCTGGAATATGCCTGGGTACTTGAGCATGTCTGTGGTCAGATCTAGACCATCCTCCAAATAATTTAAACCCCTGAGAATAAAGCCAGAATTTGAGATTTAATGTATTGATGTTAATTCACCAGATGATTATGGACATGCTGTTTACACTGCCTCTGGTTAGAATTGCGTGGTAGAGGGAGAGGCTGGATCCATTTCCCTCACTCATCCAGAACTTCCCAAACACTTGTGTATTTTATATGTATAAATGTAGCCAAGGCCTATATCCATACAGTGAAATGAGAGGTTGAAATACTTGTATATAGATAATGCAGACAGAAAATATGTTGGGGAGAATCTGGAAGTTGGGGGCTGAGAAACATGGTTTGAATGATCAAAGCAAGCTCTCCTAGAATCAAAACATCTGGGTAATTGTTGAACTTTCCTGCCCCCCACCCCACTTAGCCTGTGTAGAAAAACCCCATCTGTTTGCACAGGGTTAGCCTAAGAAACTTGGAATACCACTGGCTTTTCAGTAGGTTGATGGACACATATTTGAGAGTCCTGCCATCTCTTCAGACTTTGCCTCATTGTTAAGTACTTAATTGTCACTCTTTAATGTGTTGTCGATTCTGTTTTCATCAGTTCTGAAGAACTAGAATGTGTAAATTGCCAGTGAAATGCATGCATATAAGGGCTCTATCACTGTCAAATGTTAAGGACAATTGTACCCTCATATCCTCTCAGGTGTGCTAGACACTCTCACTCCAGTGCCTTCATTGAGATCACACTTTTATCTCACCCAAGTAGAAAATAATCACATTCAGAAAGCCCTCTCATTGTTGAGAAATGCCAGTTGAAAACTGTTATTTTTATTTCTAAGCAGCACTTTTCTCAGTTCAAGTTGCAAATATTCTACATGAGTGTGTAGCATTGACCCACTGAAAGAATGCTTACTGGACCTTTCTGTCTCCAGTGTCAATTGGGCTCTGGGGCTGACTCTCTGACCTCCACTTCTAGAAATGCTTGCTAAATTAAACTTGATAATGAGTTGAACAGAATTTATGATACTTATCAGTTATACAATTATTTAATTCTCCCCAAAATATGATGAAGTAAGTATTATCCCCATTTTACAGATAAGGAAATCCTCCATTCATCTATTTTTATTCTCCTGTAAAATGTAGCCAAGGCCTACCTGCTTGGTAGTTTCCCTCTCCTACCCACACGATCCAACACATGTGGCCAATGTCTCCAGTTCTATTATCAAAAACTGTTCTTGGGGCTGGGTCTGTAACTCAGTGGCAGAGCACTTGCCTAGCACGTGTGAGGCACAGGTTCAATCCTTAGTACCGCATAAAAATAAACAAAGACATTCTGTCCATCTATAACTACAGAAAAATAAAAATTAAAAACCACTCTCAACATTGTTTTAGCCTGCTAAAGTTATCTACCTAAATTATAAAGCAAAGCTAAGCCTCAAAATGTTATCTTTCTTTCAATAGAGGTGCTTTTTCCCCTAGAGAATTGCACAAGAGAATTATAAGCATCAGCAGGCACGGCTGGTAGAAGGAAAAGAGGAGGGGGAGGAGGGGGTCCCTTCCAGATACCCCTAAAAGGCACTTCACCCACATGTGAAACTGGTCCTACCTATACAGTGTTTCAGTCACAGGTGTTCCTAAATCAGAATGTCCATAGGAGGCAGGCAGGTAACATGTCAGATGATCGGGCAGCTCTAAGAATAACCTGTGTGGGAAAGAGAATGCTGAGAGTAAAGGCCTTCAAATTCAATGTTCCTAAAACACAGTGCCAGCCAAAGCATACCCATCCTTGACCTGCATTGGACCTGTGACTTACAGTTTCTAACATCAACCCCTTCACATCGAGTGTTCTATGTGTACCCTCTACCCATCCACTCACACACCCAGTGAGGAAGGAAGAAAAGTCCCCATTTCACTGAAGCAGAAACTGATGCACAAGGAAGCTGAATACTTTGTCCAAAGTCACACAGTAAATGCCAGATCCTGGGGATGCAAGTCTGGGAGCTGTTTGATTTCACCCAGTTTGACTTCTCTGCATCACTGTACATATCCTGATGATTATTTGTTTGCCCTTCACCAATTCAAGCCTAAGTAGAGCCATTTGTAAGTATGCATTAGGCCAGAGGAGCTTTATAGTAATGTCCAAAACTTCCATTAAGTTACTAATGTGCTTTATAACACCAATTTTCCCCCTTTGTGTTTAAGCCCTGATAGTAATTTAATGCATATGACACTCTCACTTTCAGGTCAAACATGCAATTTGGTCTCTGAAAAGATGATTTGAGCATCCATTGTAAGTCAACTGGAACACTCCAACCCCCCAAACACTAATATGTCTGCATGTGGCCCTAACATTGCCACAGGGGGAATGAGGATGTTTGTGGAACACATTTGGCTCACAAATAATTATCTTATTCCCTACTTGGACTTCTGAGTAAGCCAATGTATTTGGAAATAATCTCTTTTTCTGAGTGGTTTCATATCCAGACTAATTGAATCACTAAGATCTCAATAGTATCTCCTTTCACTGCTAAGATTTGCACTCTATTTGGGCAAGAGCAACCCTTCTGGCATGTTTATCACCTTCCCAAAATGCAGTCACTACTTTTACCACTCATGCAGGTCTAGCAAGCAGGCAAAGAGAAATGAACTCTCACTCTGGAGAAATTCTACCCATGACAATGCAGGAATGGCCCGTGCATCTTTGCGCATGGTCCTTGAGGCAAGTGACAAGGAAAGAATTACTATAAATCATTAAGAATACAGCATATTAGGACAGCAAAGGTGCTGAATGTCCTTTCTGCTCTGGTGGCCCTTAGGAAAATGAATGAACATCTTTTCTTTTTCTTTCTCCTCCTCTCTCCTCCTGACTTAGAGGTCTTTCAAATAGTTCATTTTGAAGAAAATACTGCCCCTTAAGAGGTCTATATATACATATTGCCACATCAAAATAAAACTATGTTAACTTAAAAAAAATCTAAAACCAATTTTATAAATCTCCAGAATAGTGTGGCACTTCTTCCTATGCTTAAACAACCTCCAACTTACAACAGAAGTAATTTATTCTTGTCCTATTAATCACTTATTTCTCCAACAAACATTTATTGAACACATATTACACAGCAGGCCCTGCCCTAACTGCCTGTTCCTTTGCACCTTACATGTCAAAACAAAATAACTAAGGAAACAAATAATAAACAAGATTATTTTAGGTAGTCTAAGGGCTATGAAGGAAATAAAGGGAATGATGAGATAGTAATGTGGGAGGGGCTCTGTTTCAGAATTGAATGCCCAAGCATGGTTTCTCTGAAATAGTGAAGTTAAAGCCAAAAGGGCAAAGAATAATCAACCAGTCAAAACCTGGAGAACAAAGCTCCAGGTAGGGGGAACAGCAAGTGAGAAGCCCTCACATGGGACCAGTCATGGAGTCTCTGATTATATACACAGTGTGACTGCAGTGACATTATCAAAGAGAACATAAAACAAGATGACATTGGCAAGATGGGAAGACCTCTCTGGGCCTCAAGGGCCATAGAAAGAAGCTGAATTTTAAGTAGGAGGGATATACTGGGTCTAGGTCATTCTAACTCTCAAGAGCCACTTGGTAAAAAAAATCAGGAGTTCTGTGAAATGGTTAATGTCAAGTGGGTAGTTTGTAGAAGTATTTATACCATGAAAATTGGCAATTAATACAAACTCGGGCTCTTTTCCTTTCTTCTAGATTGCCCTCCAGGATAGCCAGTTGTTAAATATTTCCCAGAACACCACTAATATATGTGCAAATTAAGCGCGATTGAAAGTCATTGGAGGGTTTGAGCGGGAGGAGGACATGGCTTGGCTTATGTTCTGTTCAATATGGCTGGCTGCTGTATGGATAAATGGTTCTTGGGGGATGGGAGTGGAGGCCAGGGGGCTCAATAGGAGAGACTCAAACCCAACTTTGCAGACCCCAATCCAGCGATGGGCATTTAGATTGCTTTTACCTTTTGGTCATTGTAAATAATGCCCCCATGAACACGGGGCATATACAACTACCTATTCAAGGTCTTGCTTTCAAATCTTTTAGTCATACACCCAGAAGTGGGATTTGAATTCTAGTTTTTTGAAAATGGCTGAACCAATTTACATTCCCTCCAATAGAGCGCAGGCTTCCAATTGCTCCACATCTCTCCAACACTTGTCATTTTCTGTTTGTTTTGATAGCAGCTATTCTGATGGGTGTAAGATGGTTGAGAACCAATTTATAATCTCCAATTGGATTAATCCCCTCACCTCAATTCTGTGTCTAGGCTTGTTCTTCTAAGCAGAGGAGTCAGATGGGGAATTCTCTCAAAATTTGTATCTGGCCTATGGAATTCAAATGAAACAAAAAACCAGACTTTCCCTCTGGTTGACCTGTCAGATTTAAACATTAGTCTCTACCAGCATGAGCTTTAAATCTCTGACATTCAGCAGAGCTCTGACGGGTGGGTGCTCTGGTTCCCCCTGCACCTTACTCCTTTCGTAGATTCTTGCTCTCCACTTTCACACTTATGGTTTCCTGCCCTCTGATCTCA